CCACTGTAGTACCTATACTGAAAAAAACATATCTTGACCCATCCTCCCCCTCTAACTATCGTCCCATATCCCTGCTCCCTTTCTCATCAAAGCTTTTGGAAAGACTCGTCTTTACCCATATGTCTTGCTTCCTCAATGCCAACTCTCTCCTTGACCCTCTTCAATCTGGCTTCCACCCTCTCCACTCTACTGAGACTGCTCTTATCAAAGTTACTAATGACCTAATCTCTGCTAAATCCAAAGGTCACTACTCCAAACTCTTCAATCGCTCAGTCTCTGTGACTCTGTCCTCTCTTGGTTTTCCTCCTATCTCTCCCAACGCTCATTCAGTGTCTCCTTTTCCAAGGATACCTCCTCCCCTCATCCTGTCTCGGTTGGAGTTTCCCAAGCCTCTGTCCTTGATCCCCTTCTATTTTCTCTTTATACTGCCTCTCTTGGCAAACTTATTGCCTCTTTTGGATTCCGCTACCACCTGTACACGGATGACACTCAGATATACCTCTCCTCCTCGGACCTCTCCCCTGCCGTCCTGCAACATGTCACTGCTTGCCTTTCTTCCATCTCTGACTGGATGTCCTCACGCTTTCTGAAACTCAATCTCTCTAAAACTGAGCTCCTTGTCTTTCCTCCTCCTAATACTGATCCTCCTCTCTCGCTCTCCCTTCAAGTCAGTGATATCCACATAAGTCCATCCCTGTCTTGGTGTCATACTTGACTCTGGTCTCACCTTCGAGTCTCACATCCAGTTTGTTGCCAAATCCTGTAGGTTCCAACTCAAAAACATAGCCCGCATCCGCCCCTTTCATACACAAGATGCTACCAAAGAGCTTGTCCATGCTCTAGTAATTTCCCGCATGGATTACTGTAACCCTCTCCTGATTGGTCTCCCCAAAAGCTGTATTGCCCCGCTACAGTCTGTAATGAATGCTGCAGCTAGACTGATTTTCCTCTCTAATCGGTCCTCTCACACCTCACCCCTCTGCCAGTCCTTACATTGGCTCCCTGTATCTTATAGTAGTCAATTCAAAGTGCTAACCCATACATTTAAAGCACTGAACAGTTCTAGCCCCTCTTATATCTCTTCACTGATCCATTGGTATGCCCCTCCTCGTTCCCTCCGCTCTGCCTGTGACCAGGGGCGGACTGACCGGTCGGGCACTTCGGACATGGTCCGAGGGCCCGGCCGGGAGGGGGGCCCGCCGCCAGGGCAGCCTTCAGGGGGCCCGGCGGCAGGGCTGGATTGGGGACTTGAGCGGAAGGTGCCACCGGGTGGCCGGTCCGGTGGCACACTGTGAGGGGGGGGCGGCCGTTTGATGCTGCAGCCGCCGGACCGGGGACCGGCGGCATTCCTCCAACTAACGCTGAGGAGGAGGAGGAGGAGGAGGAGCATGTGTCTATCATGCTCCCTGCGGTTCCCACAATTCCCAGCACAGGATGTGGGAACCGCAAAGGAGCATGACAGACACATGCTCCTCCTCCTCCTCCCCCTTCTTCAGCGTTATTGAAAGGAATGCCGCCGGACCGGCGAGGCTGCCACCCGGTCCGGCGGCTGCAGCATCAAATGGCCGGCCCCCTCTGACTTGAGTAAGGGGGATAAGGGAGGAGGGGGGAAAAGAGATATGGGGAGGAGGGGGGAAAAGAGATATGGGAGAGGGAGGGGGAAGAGATGGAGGGGAGGGGGGAAAAGAGATATACAGAGGAAAAGAAAGGGAGGGGATATGGAGAGGGAGGGAGGGAAAAGAGATATATGGAGAGGGAGGGGGGAAAAGAGATATGGAGGGGGAAGAGAAGAGGGGGAGAATATGAGGGCTATGGAAAAGAGATATGGGAGGGGACAGAGATATGAGGAGAAAGGGAACAGAGATATGGGGAGAGGGGAGAAAGAGGGGGGAACAGAGATATGGGGAGAGGGGAGAAAGAGGGGGGAACAGAGATATGGGGAGGGGGGAGAAAGAGGGGGGAACAGAGATATGGAAAGAGGGGGGAACAGAGATATGGGGAGGGGGGAGACAGACAGAGAGAGAATGAGACACGGGGAGAAACGGGGAATAGAGAGATAGGGAGGGGGAGAAAGAGACACAGGGGGAGAAAGAGATGGGGAGGGGGAGAAAGAGACAGAGAGGAAGAGAGATGTGGGGGAGAGAGAGAGAGACAGGGAAAGGGGGGAGAAAAACAGTGGAAGAGAGGGAGAAAGAGGCAGAGGGGTAAGAGAGACTGGGAAGGAGGGGGGAGAAAGAAACATACAGAGGGACGGGGGGAGACAAAAAGGCACACAGAAGGGCTGTATATATCACTGGTGGATCCAGGGGGGCAACAGGGCAATTGCTCCCCCTCCCCTGTCCGCAGGCACCGTGCGGGCAGGGGAGGAAGGAAGAGAGGACCTGGGAGCTCACCCTGCAGCTCCTCTGGGTCCTTCTTGCACGAGCACAGAGCGTTGCCGCGATTACCATGGCAACGTTACCGCTCTTGCGAGAGTCAGCTCTAGCCCTGGAGCTACGGTCTAGTGTTCACTCTCAACACTGTGACCCCCAGGGATTCCTGGTGGTCGCAGTGGTGAGAGTGAACTCTAGCCCCATAAACACACTGCCCCCACACACACACCATACACATTCACACACTGCCCCCATACACACCATACACATTTACACACATTGCCTCACACACACACATACACTGCCCACCCATATACACACAGACCCCCATACACAGCCCCCCATACTAACATTGCCACACACATACACAGCCCACACACCCTACACATTCACACACTACACCCCCCACACACACTGAACCTTTCACACACATTGCACCACTGCTCCTATTCCCTACTACAGCCCCATATCCCAGCAGATCCCAGGTAAGTTGTCAAACTGTTCTTAAATGGTTTGACTACTTACTCTGGAGCAGTAGTGGTTATTGTGCATGGATTATTTATTTAAATAATCTACAAGTGCCCCAGTAGCCAGCCAGCCAACCCACAGGCTGGCCAGTAGCCAGCCAATTAGCCAGCCCACAGGCCAGTAGCCAGCCCACAGGCCTACAGCAAGCCACAGGCTTACAGCCAGCAAGCCCACAGCCTGCCAGTCGCAGCCAGCAAGCCCACAGCCTGCCAGTCGCAGCCAGCAAGCCCACAGCCTGCCAGTCGCAGCCAGCAAGCCACAGCCTGCCAGCCGCAGTCAGCAAGCCCACAGCCTGCCGGCAGTAGCCAGCAAGCCCACAGCCTGCCAGCCGCAGCAAGCAAGCCCACAGACTGCCAGCCAGCAACAGTAATTAAGGTAAGAGGAGCCAACTTGGCCTAGGTATCAGTGAGCTATGTTGTGTTGCTATATTGTGAATAGGAACCAGAGTGTTGGAGAAACCACCCTCCAGGCCCCATTAGACTCCATTGTAGTCTCTAATGGGGCCTGGAGGAGATTCTTTCTAACACACTCTCTAAAGGACACTGAGATAGCCTCTGCTAGAAATCCCCTCCATGGCCCATTAGCCCTCAATTGTAGTCTCTACTGGGGCCTGGAGGCGACTGTTTCCAGCAGGGGATATCTAATGGACGCTGAGATGGCCTCTGTTAGAAAGACCCCCTTCCAAGCCTATTAGACTCCATTGTAGTCTCTAATGGTGCCTTGAGGGGATTCTTTCTAACACTCTCTCTAAAGGACACTGAGATAGCCTCCGCTAGAAAGACCCCCCTCCATGGCCCATTAGCCCTCAATTGTAGTCTCTGCTGGGGCCTCGAAGGGCTTATTGCCCTTTTGTTCCTTGTGTCTAAAGATTGTGTAGGGTGTGGCTGGAGGCGGTGCATGGAGGCGGGACAAGGGTGGCGCTTGCTGCAGAGTATGGGTGGGGCCTGTAAGGGGGCCCTTGATTTATTTTGCCCGGGGGCCCTGAGGGTTCTCAGTCCGCCCCTGTCCATGTCCGCATATGTGATCCAAAGCCAAGGGTGCGGAGCATGATTTCCCAATTCACCCAGTCAAAGGCCTTTTCTGCGTTGGCCAAGAGGAGAAGATATCGCTGATTTGTCTTCTTAGCAGCATGTATGATGTTTAGTGCTATTATGGTGTTTTCCTTGGCTTCTCTGCCGGGTACAAACCCCACCTGGTCTGGGTAGATCAGCTGCGGGAGCACCCTCCTGATCCTCAGTGCCAGGACCTCAGCGAAGAGCTTCAAGTCCATGTTGAGGAGGGAGATCGGGCGGTAGCTTACACAGTGTGACGGGTCTTTCCCTTCCTTATGAATGACTGCAATGGTGTCGCTGAGCGTGTCTTTAGGGAATCGTCCTCCCTCCAGGACCGAGTTCAGGCCCTTCAGAAAGCTGGGAAGCAGCACGTCTTCAAACATTTTGAATTATGAAGTGGGGAGCCCGTCTGGGCCTGGGGCTTTGTTTCTTTTAGTAATTTTGAGGGCTGTGCAGAGTTCTTCAAGCTATATGGGATTCTCCATGTTTTCCACTGCTTCCTGCCTCAGGGAGTTGGAGACATGGGTTTGTATCAAATTCTGGTGTCGTGAGCATCTGTCTTGCGCATCTCCCGTGGGGAGTTGATAGAGATCCGAGTAGAACTGATTAAACTACTCTGTGATCTTTTCCGGGAGATGAGAGATGGTCTTGCCTCTTGTAGGTAATCTACTGCATCCATATTTGTTTGCATAGCATCCCAGCTAAAAGTCGACTACATTTGTTGGAGTGCTCATAGAAAAACCATTTGAATTTTCGCACAGTGAGGGCCTCAAGCAGTGCGGGCCTCAAGAAGTTCCCTGTAGACGTCTTCCGTTTGGTTGTCCTTGTGTTGCTGTTCTAGTGTGTGTATTTTGGACGGGAGTTCTAGCATCTGCCTCTTGTGTTCCTTTTTACGGGTAGTGCACATCTTGATGAAATGGCCTCTTACTACACATTTATGGGCCTCCCAGAGGACCAGGGGGCTGTTTCGTGGATGTCATTCTCCTCAAAATATTGTTGCAAGACCTCCCGTGTCGCTTGCCTTGCTTCAAGGTCTGTGAGGATGTGTTCATTCATTTTCCATTGGCGTTCTACCGGTTTGTTTAGTGGGGAGCGCAGTTGTGTCAGGACCGGTGCATTGTCGGACCAGCCCAAAGGTAGAATGGAGCTGTCCTGGAGTTGGTGGAGGTATTCCCATGCCATCAGTATATAGTCCAGCCTGCTGTAGCTTCGGTTTTCTGGGGGAGTAGTAGGAGTAATCCTGGTCATCCGCATGTAGCACTCGACAGCTGTCCGGTTGTCTGGGTTCTTGTATTGCTTTCTTGGCTAGACAGAGGCTGTTTTGTGGAAATGTGCTGTGGCCTCTGGATGTGTCGATCCTCGGGTCTAGTGCAAAGTTGACATCCCCAGCAATCAGGAGGAGGCCTTCCCAGAATTTCTCTAGGGACAACAATACTCTGGCAAGAAATCGGTGTTGTCTTACATTTGGCGCATAGACACATGCAAATATGTATGGTTGATCTGCAATTGTCCTGTCTAGAAACCGGTATCGGCTGAGTGGGTCTGTCTGCATCCCCATGCACTGGAATGGAGTTAGTCTGGAGAACAGTATTGCTACCTCTGCTTTCTTCGCTTCCTTGTGATTGGCGAAGTAGCCTGTCGAGAATCTCGTGTCTCTGAGCATGGGTTGTTCTGCGTCGTGGAAGTGTGTCTCCTGGAGAAAGACCAGTGAAGCCCTGGCCGACCATAGTGCTCTCAGGAGATGTGATTGTCGCTATGGGGTGTTGAGTACGTGCACGTTGTTGGACCATAGTCGCAGGGAAGAATAGGTGAAGCTCGAGGTCATGGCGAGGGTGCCCCGGGGCAGAAGGTCTTGATGGTAAGGTATGTCTTTTTGCTGATGATGCTAAGATATGTAACAGGGAGGGATAAGCTAAATGGCAAATGATTTAGGTAAACTAGAAAAATTGTCACAGCTGTGGCAATTGACATTTAATGTGGATAAGTGCAAGATAATGCATCTTGGATGTAAAAACCCAAGGCCAGAGTACAGAATATTTGATAGCGTCCTAACCTCAACATCTGAGGATAGGGATTTAGAGGTGATTATTTCTGATGACTTAAAGGTAGGCAGACAATGTAATAGAGCAGCAGGATATGCTAGCAGAATGCTTGGATGTATAGGGAGAGGTATTAGCAGTAGAAAGTGGGAAGTGCTCATGCCATTGTACAAAACACTGGTGGGACCTCACTTGGAGTATTGTACACAGTACTGGAAACCGTATCTTCAGAAGGATATTTATACTTTAGAGAGAGTTCAGAGAAGGGCCACTAAACTGGTTCATGGATTGCAGGATAAAACTTACCAGGAAAGGTTAAAGGATCTTAACATGTATAGCTTGGAGGAAAGACGAGACAGGGGGGCTATGATAGAAACTTTTAAATACATAAAGGGAATCAACACAGTAAAGGAGGAGACCATATTTAAAAGAAGAAAAACTACCACAACAAGAGGACATAGTCTTAAATTAGAGGGGCAAAGGTTTAAATATAATATCAAGAAGTATTACTTTACTGAGAGGGTAGTGGATGCATGGAATAGCCTTCCAGCTGAAGTGGTAGAGGTTAACACAGTAAAGGAGTTTAACCATGCGTGGGATAGGCATAAGGCTATCCTAACTATAAGATAAGGCTAGGGACTAATGAAAGTATTTTGAAAATTGGGCAGACTAGATGGGCCGAATGGTTCTTATCTGCCGTCACATTCTATGTTTCTATGTTACTTGAGTACCTCGTGGTGTATTTGAGAAGTGGGTATAGACACATGTGTGTGGGTGCTCGGTCCCTGGCTGAGCTTTTACATTACAAGCATTATCCCTAGCTATCATGTGTGTCTTGGGTTACCATGGATATCATGTATGTGGAAGTGGTGTGGTCCACCCCACACCCCCGGGTGTGGGGGCAGCTTTGTAACCTCAAGGTCAGCCCGTGTCACCGTTCAGAGTAACCAGGTCTATGGGGTTCTCTGTGCCATTATATCTCATATATTAGTTTGGTTGTTATTTTAGTCCTAGCATTAACTAATATATTTTGGGAGCTGGATGGCCAGTAAGCTCAACAGTATACTCACTCACTGCCAGACATAGACCTTATCACAAGGCATAACTCTTATCAGGTCATTATCCTGAACAGTTCACAAAGTAGTAAGATTTTAAAATCTACAGTGGCTTGCACCCCCTGCTCTTGCTTGCCACTGACTTGGGCAGCGCCAAGACAAGTGACAGTGGAGGTGTACCATTCACAAATTAGAAAATGTACATCTGCAATACCAAAAAATCTTTGAATTGTGATTTTTATTATTCAATCATCAAAAAGATTGACCCAGCTCGTTTTGCTGTTAGTGGTTTTGGTTTTGCTGATTTGCATTGTGTTATTTGATTAATTGTGTGATTGGCACTGAACCTGGGACCAATATTTTCACCAGTGGCGTACACACCATCCATGGGGCCCGGTGCAAAACTTATCCGTGGGCCCCCCCTCCGTCCCCTCTCTCCCCCGATCCGTATCCCCCCTGACACATACATACATACATACAGACACACACACACACAAACATACACACAGACACACACACACACATAGATGCCTCGACAGACACATACATACAGACACACACACATATATACACACTGACACATACATACAGAGACACAGGCACACAGGCACACACACACACACATAGACACAGACACACACACATACAGAGACACAGACACACACACAGAGACACACACACATACATAGACACACACACATACATACGTGGTGTTGACGTAGTGTCTTTTTCCTTCTCACCATTCAGTGCGTCGGCTTCTGCTCCACACAAATACGATTTTCTATTCGTCTTCTGTGTTGTACCCCTATCCTCCGGATAGGCCACGGCTCTGTTGGCAGGTTGTACACGACCATGTAGATCCAAGATCTTGTTCTTTCGTCCATCTACTCATGGACAGCTATTGATTTCTGCATACGACCATTTAGGACTGTTTCTGCATCTTCGCTCACTCGTTGGATTTGGTGGATCCTCTCATCGGCTGACCTTGAGAGTTCCTCTGGGACACATTTGGTTCGGGGTGCTGTCACCTCAACAACTTTAGAAGCCGTTGGGTCCCTTCTGGATTTTCTCTACACCGCTGCTTGGTGTAGGGAATCGGTTCAATCCTCTATCTCATATTGCTTCTGGTTTTTAATATTTGGGCGTTAAAATTGCATATATGAAGCCTCCTGTCCTGCCATAAAATTAGGGATTATTCTAGGCGAGGGAATAATCTAAATTTGATTTATATTTCCCCCCCCCTTTTTACGTTCCCTCCCTGGAATTGGGTCTTATTCTACTTTAATTAATTGGAGATATGGTTATGTTTTGTGAATGCATGGTTTACATAATAAAGGTTATTTCTATTATACAGTGATGATTGTCCATGTGCGTTTTATTCATCATGTTTGTGTTGTAATTATGTTTTGTCTATGTCTTTTTTAGTTTAGGTACATACAAGGTACAAGGTACAAGGTACAAGGTACAAGGTCTTCATAAGATCTGTAGACTTTGTTCATCAGGTATAATGATGTACAAGTGATATTGTATGGATATGACATCTTGCTTTGACAGTTTACTTTCACGATATTTTCTTTTTTCTTGCAGTGTAATTTTCCCTCTGGGTTTGACGATTGTTTCTCAGGATGTGCATACTACAAGGTGGATTCGTTGGTTTCCTTGCTCTCCTGCTCGACCTCATCAAAGAAAGAATAAGTGGAAGGGCCTGCCTAAGTGGTTTTATACTACTGTTGCTTTGTTCTGATTGGTTGTTTTGAAAAGTTCTGTTAACTATTTCTTTGCTGCTGGAGGTTTCAGTAAAGAAGGTAAAGCAAATATTTGCCTCCTGTCTTTAATAAAATTTAGATTAGACTCACCGAGGCTAGAATAATCCCTAATTCCAAACACTAAAGTCCTCCCTCTGCCCCCCAACCCTTGCACAGAAAGGGTTAAAAACCCATATAACACTTACCTTATTCCAGCACACAGGGGAACCTAATGTGCATGCGCGCTCATTAGGCCTTCCCTATAGTAAAGCATTGATTCAATACTTTCCTATGGGTGATTTGAACATGCTGAATGTCCTCATGCACAGTAGAGTTAAACTCCGTGAAACAGCAGGAAGGGCCTCTAGAGGCTGTCTGGTAGACAGCTACAGAAGAGGTCTTAACCCTGCAATGTAAACATTGCAGTGTCTCTGAACCAGAAATGTTTTACATTGCAGGGTTAAAGGGACAGGGGTAGTGCACCCAGATCACTTCTATGAGATGAAGCCGTCTGGGTGATATAGTGTCCCTTTAATATCCAGTTATTTTAATATTCAGATACACCATCAGATCATTTTTAGCTCAACAGGTTATGGCCAATTGAGTAAAGAGGACAGCTTTATTGGATACATCTCAGTCACAGAGTCTGATCTCATGTAAGTATTGTGCAACCAGATCAATACTTTCTGGAAATACAGAATACATATTGCATTATTTACTAAAAGAGATTATTTTAGTTTTGTTGATAATTTAAAAAAAAACGATTCTGTTCTCTTCTCGTATGTAGTTACTTCTCATTTCTCCATTTCCTGTTTTGTTCATTTTATTTTTTATTTTTTATCACTATATCTCAATGGCAGATGTTGTTAGGTGATCATCTACTCCCTTAGGCTAGTCCCTGTGCAGACTGTAATATTTACGACAGTTGTAGGCAAATCTCAATGGACACAATCTAAATGTGTCTAACTGTACAGAACAGAGAGGCAAGAGCCATGCTCTACTGCAGAGAATCACATCTTCACTAGAAGCCAAAACTAACTGACCCAGAATTGAAACCAAGCAGAGCAAATAATAGTGTATGTACCTGTATTTAATAATACATTCGCATGTGCTGTGAAACAGCTAGTAAAAGTTTAGTGTTTTTTTATTGTCCTTAGATGCACTCATTTTTATTTGATGACTCATTGCTAAAATATTTTTATGAAATTAATTTACCCTGAGATGGAGGATGCCATTTTTAAAGCCTTTGTATACGTTTTATAAAGTGGTAGCAACTTTCATGGTGATGTCTTACAGGCTTCTTCACCAAAGAGAGCATTGGTGGAGACTAAAAGTGAATTTTAAATTTAAGGTCAAAGAAGCTGAGCTGGATGAACAGGTGACATAAAGAATGTTTCCTGTTTGGCTATTTTGAATTGGATATTCACTTTGAACTCCCTGCAATTCTCACTTAGTGAATAACCCTGTGAATACAGTGGTGCTCTTGCAGGGTGCATGTGCATTTTGATCTTACAGCAAAGTGTGTTTACTTTAGAAGTCTTTATGTGCTGCCTGTTAATTGCTACATTGTACATCTAATTCAGTTGACCCATTCAACGTATAGACTGAAACTTAGACCCACAGACCACAAAAATTTAGAAGTTCTTAAAAAACTAGAAGGTTTAATTCAAAACTAGCCAGATGGGCTCTCTTTCTTGAAAGGTTCAATTTCCATATTACTGATAGACCTGGTAATAAGAACACTAAAGTTGATGCTCTCTCAAGATGTTTTGATGTAGAATCCCAAATCACTAATTAATACATTTTTCCATCTTCTAAATTTAC